AAAGGTCTTTTCTGCATCTAATGAAATCAAAATGTGATTTGTCTTTCAGTTTGTTTATGTAGTGGTTTATGTTTATTAATTTACATATGTTAAACCATCCCTGCATCTCTGAGATGAAGCCAACTTGATCATGACTTTTTGATGTGCTCTTAAATTTGTTTGCAAGTATTTTATTGAAGCTATATGCACATATATTCATAGGAAATATTGCTCTACAAATTTTCTCTTTTTGTTGAGGCTTTGTCTGGTTTTTGTATCAGGGTAATACTAGTGTCATAAAAAACTTTAAAGGTTCCTTCCATTTCTAATTTATGGAATAATTTGAGGGACATGCCTGTTAACTATTCTTTGCAGTCAGAATTCTGTTTAGTTCTGAGTTTTTAATTATGGCTGTATCTCAGAAGACATTATAGGTCTATATAAATTATTTACTTGATCTCTATTCAATTTGGTTAGGTCATATATATCTAAATATCCATCTGTTAATCAGGAATTATTCCAATTAACATGGCTTTGTAAGTGAGTTGAGCTTTCTGCTCTGTATCTCTCAATACCTTTCTTTATTCTATGTTTTTAATGCTTTAAATACATTATATTATCCCAGCATGAGCATCTTTTTCTCTAGGTTTAGAAATTTTCTTCTATGATTTTCTTAAGAATATCCCTTGTTCCTTTGATATGGTATTTTATTTTTCTATGCCCTTAATTATTTTAAGGTGTACCAAATCTTTTCTATATGTTGTTCATATTTCAGATTGACCTTTATTAAGTGCTCTAATTCCTTTACCTTGACTTCTAGCTATGATATTCTGTTTCTCACATGATCCATTTTGTTCATGAGGCTTTCCATTGAGATTTTAGCTGGAATCACTATGATTTATTTTTCATTTTCAGCATAACTTCAGTTTGATTTACTATCTCAATTGTTATATCTCATTAATGGACATCTGTTTTCATAGTTTGCACTGACTTCTTATATTATTTGGCTGTCTGGTTTTATTCTCTTGGAACATGCAATTTTTTGAATTGTTTGAATATATTTATCATCATTATTTTGAATTCTTTATTCCAAAGATCTCCCATATCATCATCATTTTTAGATTATTATGAAATCAGTAATTTTTGGAGAACACATGATCTTCTGAACTCTGAAGGGCTTTGCTCTCTTCACTGACTCTGTTCTCTGCAAAATACACAGCTTGTCTTCCAGGCTTCAGCTGGCTCCAATCCACCTTTGACGCTGTTCTTGGTAGTCATCCCATGGTACTAGCTGTAGCTAGAGTTTTCTCCAGACCTGCCTGGCCCATGGTCAGGACTAATCTCTCTCACCTACCAGTCTCACAGCCCCTCAGACCCAACCAAGTAAACACACAGAGACTTATATTACTTATAAACTGTATGGCTGTGGCAGGCTTCTTGCTAACTATTCTTATATCTTAAATCAACTCATTTCTATTAATCTATAAGTTGCCACATGGCTTGTGGCTTACCGGTATCTTTACATGTTGCTTGTCATGGTGGTAACTGGCAGTGTCTCTCTGCCTCAGCCTTCCACTTCCCAGAATTCTCCTCTCTTTGTCCCGCCTATACTTCCTGCCTGGCTACTGGCCAACCAGCATTTTATTTATGCAGAGTGATATCCACAGCAACTAGCATCTTCAAACTGTTGAGATCTCTGCTGCAACTGGGTTACACTTTCACCAATACCCTTCTTGGCTCTTTTCATGGTGCCAAGCCTCAACTTCTCTTGGCCTTCAGCTGCTATTCTGGCTGTACCTTCCCCAATGGCCTTTCCTGGCCTCTCATAGTGTAAAGCCTCAGCTGCTCCTCATGGCCCCTTCATGTCATGTCGTCAAAACCAGTACTACCTATGTGACTCTTATATTACAAAATTTGGATGTCAACAAGAGGTACAACACTGGCCACCTCTGGAAGACAGCTTTTGTGTGCTTTTCTGAGGAAACACTTTCTGGAATATTTCACTTCAGTGATTCTGGTCTCCTCTTAATCACTGCTAATTTCTCAGGCAACTAGCATCAATTATCCCAGTAATGCAGCCAGTTTCATTTCAATAGTGCTGGTCTCTTGTTAATTGTGGCTGACTTTTCAGCCTCACGTGACCAAAACCATAGAATCTTAATTCAAAATAACAAATGGGCCTGATACTCTTTAAAAATCTTTCTGAAACTTTATAAGCCAGACCTCTAGCATCTACACTGCTCCCAAATTCTTATCTCCTGAGCTCCTACATAATGGCTCACTGAGCTCTCAACACTCAATGGAGGGGTGCTTACTGGCTTGCTGTTCTTGTGTATACTGTCACAACTGTTGTGAATTAATCTGTGCAGATGTCTTGTAGTATCCAGAAAACATCTTTTCCTTGTATTTTTCCACTGTCTGTGACTCTTACAGTCTTTTGAGAACCTCTCCTGTGATTATCCTCCTCAGGAGGAGGAGAGGTATGACATAGATGCCTCATTTAGGACTAAATGTAGATTAATTTCTAAATAGTCTTATTAAATAAAATAAATGTAGGGGTGAAAGCCTTAGGGAGATCAGGGAAATAGGGAAAACCACCAGCCAACCTTACCTCACCAATTCTGCAGCTTCCAAATATGAGTTACTTCCTATTTACCCACACACATATGCCTTGCTGTTCTGTCGTCTGATTTGCTCTCTGTCCAACTACATCACTTCTTCTTCCTACACAGCTCTGTCATTTTCTGTCTGTCTGTACAGACCTCCAGACCTCCATGGTTAACTAGTGTTAGAACCAAGGCATGTGCCACGGCACCTGGCTCTGTTTCCAGTGTGGCCTTGAACACACAGAGATCCTGCCTGCTAAGTGATAGGAGTAAGGGCATGTGCTACCACTGCCTGACTTCTTTGTTTGGCCTTTTTCCTCTGATCTTCAGGCAAACTTTATTTATTAAAGCACAAATAAAATATCATCACAACTAAGCATTCCATAGTTTCTTATTTTCTTCATATTTTCTAGTTATGGGTCTTTGCATTAATTGCAACCTACTGCAGAACAAAGCATCTCTGATGAAGTTTTAGAGAGGCACTAAGTCAATTAGAGTCAGTTTGATACTCTTGATAAAGACACCTGTAAGCCTCTTCGCTAAGCAGGCACCCCAGGAAGAGTCCATGGCACATATCTAGCCACTGCTTCCCATTTCGGGCATGGTAGAACAGCACCAGATCCCCAGCAAGAGTGGGAGAAAGTCTTAAATTTCATTCCTCAGCAATGCAAGCAGCATTGCATATCCTCCAGAGTCTCAGCAAACATCAAGTATTTTTCAGAGCCTAAGCCATCATGCAGGTGGACATGGACAGGTAGAAAAACATAGGGTTCTTGGCTCCACCATGTCATCACACCTCTCTCTCTCTCTCTCTCTCTCTCTCTCTCTCTCTCTCTCTCTCTCTCTCCAGCCCTTTAGAGCTGATATTTCTAAATGGAGAAAAGTTTTCCACCAAATCATGAAAAATCAAGGACTCTCATGTTTTGGCTATCAATTTTATTCCATAACTTTAGATGGAAGTAAGATATCTTTGACAATAAGTAAAGGAGAGTGAACCTTCATGGCCAGTTGCAGCAGCTACAGCTGGTATCAAAGACAAGGCCTGCCTGACAGTGCTGCTGGTATGT